GGGGGGGGGGCACATTAGAGAGCCCATTACTCCGGGACTCCAAATCACTCCTAGATTTTCCAAAACGGGAGCAAACTCCTGATACTAAGGGATCTGTGGCTTCTTTTCTAATTTCCCTCTGGGATTAAATAATATCCCTCTGGAATTATTAAAGTATTTCTGATTCTGTTTCTGAGTCAGTGAGAAGACTTTTCCTGAAGTGACACAATGTTGATGTGATTTAAACAGGAGTGTATTTAATCGGAAGTTATTTATTTATATGTAGCCTGTTTTAGACCGGATTGTAATCAAATTTAATTCAATTTAATTACAACTTTGTTGAACCTTTCACTTATTGAAGAGCCTTCTCTTGGGGAGGTATGATTGTGTTTGTGTTCATGCTGCTGTGTCTACTCACAGAAACGCCCCAAGTATCCCGCAAATCATCCATGCGAATAATCCGACTCTGTACGTAACGGTGGTGACAACAGAGTTTTGACAGTGGGGACAGAACATCTGTCCGGGGACCTCCGTTGGTAGCCGCTGGACCACCACCATGTTGTTCGCTGTGAGTATAAGACAAGAGTTCACTGACTAATGTGTCCCTCAACCAAACCAAATGATCCGTTACATTTGAATCAGTTTCAACTCATGAGAGACAGCTAAAGAAAGACCAACTGAGGTGTTTCTTATATGTTGGGTTGTATCTCTGTTATGGAAATGGCTATTTGACATTAGAAATCTTTGCTTTTTACCCGGCTGGTGAACAGCATGGATCACCGTCTGGTGAACAGGCTGAGGAGGGTACTGGGCAACCGGTTGGGCAACATGCTGTGCTCCATGCTGGGGGGCTACATTGTGGTCCAAAGGGGGACCAGGGTAGGGAGGCGCCGGAATATCAGCAGAATTGAAATACTGCACATCTTTTTCCGTCTTATCTGTTGAATGGAACAGGGAAAAACACAGGTATGAAATATATAACAAAGGTTTTAGGTAAAAAATAAAATCATTCTTTCTCCTTTTGGGAGTGCTTTGCTGCTTGTCAGAAGTGGGCTTGGGAACAGACTAAAACCTGGACTTTCTTCTCTCCAAAGTGAAGAAACTTGCTCATCAATTTTAAACATTTCAGACCAAGACAGGGCGAATTAATTTAGAAGCACTTTTGTGCATGTAAGTGTTAGCTCGATTCTTTAGTTGGAAACCTGAGAATAAACCAGAGTCGATCAAGAGTAAAAAGTTGACATTTATTGGGTCACAGGTAAAGTATTTCAGCGCTGGGCTCTTCACAGAGGAAACCTCTCTCTCAGGGTCTCAGTCGGCAAAGAGCTCTGAGATCTGGGTGTGATGGGTCTTTGTCTCCTTGGTTGGGCACACCCCTCAAAAGGAGGACTGGACACAACCAAGTCCTATTGGTTAGTTATCTGTAAGACTAACAAGCCGGGTTCTAATTCATGTTGGTGACATTGGAATGTGGTACCAAATGGTGTGTGTGTGTGTTGACCTAAAGACGTGGATCTAATGCAACAGAGAAAAGAAAAGAGAGAACAAAGAGAATCTGTGGTTACAGCCAGAAACTTCAATACAAACTATAGGTATAATATAAAATGAAACAATCAATAATATGCATAGATCATGTGATAGCAAACAATGCTAAAGTGTGTATTTATAACCAAATCCTAACATAAGCACGGCTTAAGCTATTTTTAAATGGTTTACTTTCGGTGTGTGTCAAAACTACAAGAAGATTTATATTCAATACTGTTTACCAAATCTTGAAGAATGACATGTTTGCCTTTCCTTTTCCTTAACACACAAAGGCTTTGAAAAAGGAATGCATTGTTTCAAACTGCTTGTTTTGAGTTGTCTTTGGGTTTAAGTGCTGCTGAGGAATGTGGGCTGAATTCTGGCTCATCAGGTGTTTAACAAAGCTCATGATGAAAACGGAAAATGGATGATGAAAAACCTCCACGGTAAAAAAACAGCAGGTCGTAATCATCAGGTTTTTTACATTTTCCATCTTTTAATACGACATTAATGCGCCATTTTCACATTACATTGTTTTTATTTTTTTCCAGTGAGGTAGGAAAGGCTAGTGAATTGAATTGATTTAAAATAGTTTACACTAGCCCATTTCCATCACACGCCCTAATGAGCTAGCACGCAAAATTATCCACCCACGAGAACTGGTTCACCCACATAGAGGTGAAAGGAGGCGGTTTTAGGTTTCTCCATCATTCTGGTCTTTAATTAGCATGACTTACGAAAGTTTCCATTGTGAGAGTTTTTGAAAGGCCACAGAGAGCCAACTACAATTGTGTAAATCATCATAATTATCATAATTTGTTATTTCAAGTGATGCATGATGCTATTTTCTTCAGAATTCATCGAGTGTGATAAGACAGGAACAACAAAAGCACTTTGAAATAAACGTTGGGAAATTCTGGTTAATCTCTCTATTTTTTCATTGGATCAGGACCTTCTTGTTGTAACTTTGTTGCAATCAGAAGAAAGATTTGTAACCAAAACTCATGAGATTCAAATGCTTATTATCTCCAATTTAACCAAAAAGCACAAGTTCTTTCTTATGATTAATCAAAATCCTAACAAATGAAAACAGACTAATGGAGGCAAACTGATTAAGTAATTACTTACTGAACAACGCTGACTTAAAAAAAGATACGAATCATCAAATTAGTCTACGTTCAATTAATTTTTTATCTATTTAGCACAACAAAAGTAGACTCAGGCCACTTTTCAGTCAACAAACTAGTTCAATTCAAAATAATTGGAAATTACCAGTTTATAAAGAAAGGAGCCAAGCTATGGATTTTAAAGCCTCCAAATTCATCATTTTATCTTTTATCAGCAAAAAATGACATATTCTAACCACTATTATGACATGAGAATATATGAAATCTCTCTTACTGGACGACATCTTTAATGCTGGTTTCCTCGGTGAGAAGTCGGGAGGGTGTGTGGCAGCCTTGCAGTCCTTTCTGTGACGGTAAAAGCAGCTTGGACAAAACAAATAAATAAAGCTGAGGTG